TGATTCCTACTGAACCAGACTGAGAGACCATTTAAAGGCTCAGGACCCCTTTGCAGGTGTTATGGCTTAATTAGCTGATTAGAGTGGGACACTTTGAGCCGAGAATATTGAACCTTTTCACAATATTCTAATTTTCTGAGATTGTGGATTTAGGGTTTTCATGAGCTGTAAGCCATAATCATCACAATTATGCCAAATCACAGCTTGTGAAATCTTGCTTTGCATGTAATGAGTCTATCTCATATATTAGTTTCATCTTTTAAGTTGCATTACTGAAATAAATGAACTTTTGCACGATATTCTAATTTTTCGAGTTTCACCTGTAACTATTGCCCCTACAGGAAAAACCTACAGTTAGCTTGATCAGTGAAAGTCATGATGAGATCAATGGTTTCATGTCTCTTGATTTTAGATGATTTCTAGGGGATTATAAAATATCTTTTCAAACATTATTATAATGAGATGAGTGAAACAGTTACTTGTAAAAGGAAATTTCTGTGAGAGCACAATTGAAGTGAATAGTCTTGGATCAATTTTAGAATTTAGAGCCACATTATATGTTAATCTGATTTTCTCATTACTTGGAAAAGACACCTAAGGAAGGGATTATTTCAATTTGCAACTGATTGTTTCAGAATACAAACAGACAAACTGACAGAATTCATATCGGAATAATGTTCTATTTAAAGAGTTTCTGTGATAAACTATGTGTAGTATGTAGGCTGTTGTTTAGAAGCAACCTCCTTTTTCAGGTTGAACTAAAGACTATTTTTCCCCTTTCTATTACGTTAAACATTAAAAAATAAATTATAGGTGAAATCCTGTTTTTTTCACTGTGATTTGGAATACATATCCTACAATTACTTATTTTCTAAAATATCTGTAGTCTTTTTGCAATAATTATGCTCTGAATGGTTTGCTTAAAATAATCTTGAAATTAGTCAAAAGAGTATAGTATTACTTTTGTAGTAGATAATGCTAAATTACAATTGTCACACGATTACAAAGATGCATACAAACTTAATGTTCTTGAAAATGCATTATTCTTTTTAGAGATTTCATGAGAGAGGAGAGAGAGAGAGAGAGAGAGAGAGAGAGAGAGAGAGAGAGAGAGAGTTATGGTTATAGTTACATATTTATCCATAGCACCAGGGAAGTTGACTTTGTCAACTACTAGATATGTCCAAGAAGTTGGAAAGTGAACTCCCTAACTACATGGATGCTTGTGGAAAGAAAGATATTTCAGTTCTCTATTTCTCATGAAACTGCCAATTTATTTAATGGTTGTGTTGCGGCTGCAGGTGGGCCTCACCATTAATGCATGAAGACATCACCTCTGTGACCACACATAAGCCATTATTAGGATCACCAAGACTCCATTTTCTCTTTGTCTCACAATGTATACATATATAAACTTAGGCAAAGAAAAAAAAATGGAGTCTTCTATTTTTATTTCTGATATTTCTATGCCACTCTATTTTAAAATATGTTCGATCAGTGTACAACTTCATTATATAATCAGCAGATGTTGGTCATAAATAAAAATACAACATTCCCCAAATGCTGTTTTCCAGAATTAAAATGTCATCTATTTTTGTAACTTAGTAAGGAGGAGAGGGTTCTTTTATGTGTGGGCAAGCTATGTCATAGAAGAAGTACTATATTTGAGAAAACTCTGCTACTCTGTAAATGGAATTCCTTTGGAGATGGGATCCTCCACACGAATTTCCCTCTCTGAACTTGCACAATGAGCTTACGCTCATATTCATCTGGAAAAAAAATAGTTTTGGAGATAGCCACCTTGCACCATTTAGGGCTTTAAAGGTGACGGCTAATACCTTAAATTACATTTGGAAGTTGGTTGCATGTTAAACCTGGTGGTCTTCAAGGACAGCCCTGTGCAGAGTGTCTTACAGTAGGCCAGTTGAGAACTGTAAAAAGCCTGAGTTAGTTTACATCTAGTGCATAACTTGCACAAGAATTTAGGTACAGTATTACATGGTTGCATAGGAACTGGTTCAGGAACAGGTTCAGATAGATATTTTATGACTATAAAATCTATGCTAGCTATAATACCCCCTGGCCCAGGAAAGGTTGCAATTGGTATATACAAATTGATTATGCAAAAGATATCCTAGCTATGGTCTCTACTTGCTGTTCAAGCAGGAGTTATGAGTTCCAAAGAGGTGCCCAATTATGAGCCTATTCAGACCAAGGGAACTGACCCCATTCAGAACTAAAGAAGGTATATCTCTGGTCAAAAGGTATCTATCCATAGCCGTTCTGTTTTGCTAGGGTTTCCTGTTCCTCCTTATCCAAATCCTAGCAGCCTCTGGACAGTCAGGTATCTCAATTGCAAGATCTCTCCAAGCAGAGATGAAGAGGTTTTACCTGCACATTGACACGGTATTTACCTAGCAACTCCATGAGACATTGAAAAGTAGGGGTAGAAAGGATTGAACCCTGTTGTGGTCATAAAATAGCAAAGTGGACTTGTTTTCTCTTCACCCACCATCACAGACGGTTGGTTATCAGTTGCTTAGGAAGGGGGTAAACCAATGATGCATGGTGACCCCTACTCCAAATCTTTGCATACAGAAGGTTATCATGGTCAGTGTAACTGAAGACCAGGACAATTCCATCTCAGTTTTGCCAAACATCACCTGAGTTCCCTGCCACACTGTTGAATGTCTCTCCTATATTAAATTACTTTTTATTACCTGTTTTTGCTAGCTTTTGCTATATCCACAATTTTTTTGTATAAACTGCACATCTTTGACACTGTGCTAAAGCTATGGCAGGGGGAAGAATTCAGGTTGAGAAAAATGTTGTTCAGTGAAAACCAGGAGTAGCAATTCTGAATTGGGAAAAAAATCTGAACAACTTTTAAGAAAGCAGCCAATTTTTCAGTCACAACATTAGAACTGGTTAGGTTTTATTTCAACAAAACAATGAAAGGACAAGTGTTTTTTGTTTTGTCAAGCTGCAGACAATTCAACTGAACTTTTGGAATGCAATATTTTTTAATAGGCAAAACAAAACAGATACCCAGTTTGTAGCCCTCAAATTCATATCCATCAGGAAATTCTGGCTACAGCTTTCTTGGCTGACTGTTCATGGTGAACAGTATGAAAAGAACACATCATACTATATATGTTTTTGTCTTCATCACAGTGAATATAAAATTATGTATAAATATATACTTATACTTCATTGCACAAGAACTAATTTACATCTAGTGCATAACTTGCACAAGAACTTAGGCACAGTATTACATGGTTGCATAGGAACTGGTTCAGGAACAGGTTCAGATAGATATTTTATGACTATAAAATCTATGCTAGCTATAATCTATGCAAACACGAATCTTTGATATATTTAAATGATTGAATGGACAACCCTACATATGCTTAGGTCAGTATACTCCAAGTTTATGAGACTTCAAGCACTTACAATTATACACCGCACAGCCAATCAATAGTCCAATAATAGTGTATAAATTGAAACACTGTCCCTTGGAATATACACTATGCATAGATGGAACAAATATAAGAAGTCACTTCATGCTTCAGATTTAGTACAGTACTCCCATCAGCAACATAATTCTAACAGAATGGCCATCAAAAGTACATTGAGTTGTTATTTTTGAAGTACATTTCCTTCCTTACTGTTTCACAGCAAGATGAAATTTATTTATCTGGCTGCATACTGTCTAGGAAGAGAGATTACTGTGTGCTATTTCTAGTGATATCTGTTTGTATGGTGTACTATTCAGAGACAATAGGGCACCTCATCTAAAGTGGACAAATATAGCCATGGGACAATGGGCTGAGAATCAGGCTCTGAGCGACTTAAATGCTTAGGAGCATTGCTGAGATCAAATTTTCAAATATGTACTGTCAAATAAGTGAGAGAGACAGTGTTTGATCACTGGATGTATTTGTAGATTCATAGCAACACAGCAGCCAAAAACTGATGGAAGAAAAAGAGGACACTTTAAACGTAAAGAATGAACATAATTCCCATGTCTCATCTTCCTAACTATTACCTCTTTTGCTTCGACAGAGCTAAACTGGCCTAGGGTTGTTACCCTATTATAATATTATTATTATACCCTATATATTATCAGATACATTTATTTACTGCATAAAAATAAGCTGTTTTAAAACCAAGATTTCCCCAAAACTTGGGATTGTTAAAGGGATCTTCCTTACATCTATTACCCAACTGTTTCATTATACACACACACAGAGAGAGAGAAATATGTAGATCATGGCTATTAGCAGTTTTGGAACCCATCATAAATAACAACCTCAATATCACCCAATGTTTCAGCGTGGTGAAATACTAACACTCGAGTAGAGTCCAAGAAGATCTGGATTCTTCAATTCCTCACCCTAAAACACATATTTAGGACATATACATCGGAAACTTTTTCCAGCCAGCAAGCACATTTTAAAACAGTGAAACTCTCAAAGAATCTCACATTGCATCTTTGGAATATGCAGAAGCGGTGCGACTCTCAGCACCGTTTCTGCTTGTCTTACTTCCCAACGCAAACTTAAGAAACCCTCTTACTCGATCCTCTTAGTTACTTTTCAGTCAGCTCTTAAAAACACCCTTCTAGCATCCAGCAGAACTTCTTTCCCTTTTACTCCACGGTATGGGAAAATAAAAATAAAAATAAATGATAGCGCCTGCTTTTAACGCCCGGCATCTTTGCAAAGGGAAACCCTTCTGTTCAGGCAGCGCTGCAACCCCACATTTTAAAACCAAGCGAGCTGGCGGCGATGAGCATTGTAATCCCAAATATATTTGGAAAGCATTCGGGGAAATCGGTTGGCCCCAGAATTGTAACAGGGGGAGAAGCAACGGCGCTTTTGCCGGCAGGTGAAGTTTCTTCTCTAGTTTCTCCGCATGAGATCCCTTTCTCTCTTTCCTCCCGCTTCCCCCTTTAGGGAACCCTTCTGCCTCCTCCCACACTAGACAGCCACTCTCACCTGATCCCCCAAAGCGGGCTGTAAAAACGCAGCGGCTTCGGCCTCAGGCACTTCAGGAGGGCGGCGGAGAACATGCCCCCAACACAAAGTCAGCCAAGGGGACTCCGCCTCCAGGCGCCGAAGCTCGCGTGTTTAGAGAGAAGCGGCCTAGGCCGCGAGGGGGCGTCGTCGTCTTCGTCGCTCCTCCCACCGCTTGGGGGGGGGTGAAGAGGGACAGGGGTGGAGCTGGGGAAGAGAAGGGCGGGGCTTCTTCCGGGGGAATCCACGGATTAACGCGGGACAATTGCGCGAGCGCCCTCTTGAGGGGAAACGGCGGCGGCAAGGAAATGAGCGTCTCTCTATGTTAATCTGGACACGTGACGTGGTTCGCGTCTTCCTAAAGGTTCTGTCATTTAGGATTGTCCCGACTTCGTCACCCGGTCCTGTCCACGTAACATTCACCTGCCCGCTTGAGACAAGTGCTCTAAAAACGTGGTCTCCTTGGTGCTCTCTGGAGCAAGGATATTCAGGAAACTTGGCAAGTTTAAGACTTGTGGACTTCAACTCCCAGAATTCCTGAGCTAACAGGACTGAAGGAGGAATTCTGGGAGTTGAAGTCCACAAGTCTTAAAGCCGGCAAGTTTGACGACCCCTGCAGTCTGGAGCTTGGTTGTTGCTGGCACATGTTTCATTACTTAATTAGGTAAACGTCATCAATGCTAGTTCTAGAACTATGCCGCCTTCGACCTAGAACTATGCCGCCTTCGGTCAGATCTTAGCATATAAAATCATACATTGCAATGTCCTACCTGTCAATGAATACTTCAGCTTCAACCATAACAACACAAGAGCAAACAATAGATACAAACTCAAGGTTAACCAGCCTTGAGTTATAGATACTCTCTTCCATGGACTCCTTAGAAGTCTTGATGAATTGCATACCCGGCAGACTACAGGTAGTCCTCGAGTTACAACTGTTCCCTCAGTGACTGTTCGAAGGTACAGCGGCACTGAAAAAAAGTGACTTATCACCATTTTTCACACAACCATGGCAGCACCCCCCAGGGTCACATGATTTACCTTCAGATGCTTGACAACTGACTCACATTTAGGATGGTTGCAGCGTCCTGGGTTAAGTGATCACCTTGGGCAACCTTCTGACAAGAAAAGTCAATGTGGAACTAGATTCACTTAACAGCCGCTGTTACTAATTTAACAAACGCAGTGATTCACTTAACCAATGCGGGAAGAAAAGTTGTAAAATGGGGTTAAACTCACAACAAATTTCTCTCTTTGCAACATAAATTTCGGGTTCAATTGTGGTCATAAGTTGAGGACTACCTGTATCCTTCCAAACATCGTAGAGCAGTGGCCCCTAAGTTGGTGCTCTCCAGATTTATTGAGGTTCAGTTCTGATAATTGCCTGCTGGCCTGGTCTGAAGATTAGGGGACAGAAGACCAGCATTTGGAGTAGACACCGGTTGAGAATTGAGCATCCTTCTCAATAGACTACTCTAGACTGATAATTTAATACTCCATTGAGTAGACAACCCTGAGGCCACCTGCTGTAACATTTATTCCAGTAAAAGTATGCATATGATTATATATTAAAATGATGCAAGCCCTTTCCTGGCTTCTCTGTAGAAAGTCCAATTGAGTTAGAGAGGAGATGGGTGGTAGTGGTGATTTTAGTAGCCTGTATAGGCAGATAATTGCATATTGGTAAGATAGGAATGGGAGTCTATTATGATTCTATGCATTTGGAAAGTTGCACAGGAAAGAGCTTTAGATGTGAACCATCATTAGATGGGTAAATGAGATGTAGCATATCGATTTTAATCTTAAGGAGTTAGGCAGCCACATAAATACACAAAGTCAAATCGGATATATTAATTAGAGAGTCACTTTGGTGTAGTGGTTAAGGCACCAGTCTTGAAACTGGGAGTCAGTGAGTTTTGGTCCTGCCTTCAGTGCAAAGCCAGCTGGGTGACCTTGGACATCTTAGCCCTTGGAAGAAGGCAGTGGCAAATTATTTCTGAAAAAACATGCCAAGAAAACTTCATAGACTTGTCCAGGCCCATACTATGAGTTAAGGCTGACTTGGAAGCATACATATTCCAACATATTTATTAATTAAAATATTTAATAATTGAGTTTTAGCCCTGCAGCAAACTAATGAAACCGAAATGATAACACCTGTTTGGGCTATATAAGATGCAGAGTTTGGTTGGTGGCATCAGTATTTACCCTGCTGCCTTTCCCATCCTCTGGATGCTCACATTTTAATTTTTAGGCATTTTATTTAAAAAATGGACTGGCATCTCTTCCTTTTGGTATAGGTACCTCATAGGGTCTAATGTGGAATGATGGGAAAAAAATAACAATTTAAAGGGTTTTCTTTCTTTTTTCTTTTTGCATATTATGAGATACATTTAAATGGACTGTATTGATAATGTCTGAATACAAGTTTATCCATGATTAATTCTACCATGGTTTACTAAATAAAGCAACTATTAGGTTACTATAACATTGAGAAACTAAGACATTGATAGATTTGGCACAATATGCTAATATAAAGGGATTGTGGCTTCTTTATGGAGCAACATGTTGTGTTAACTCAAGAAAGCTAAAATTTAGGCAGGAACTGACAAGCTACAGAGCACAATAATGTCTTTGTGTCCATCCCATTAGAAAAAGTAAAGTGCTATTTTTAACATCATAGCTTTTTTAAATGGATTTCAATTTTAATCATAACAAGACTAGCCTTAATTCTGTGCTTCTTTGGCTACCTGTCTCAAGCTCTTTGGCTATCCAAGTTCCAAACTCCAAAGGTCAGAACCAGCATTTTGAATTGTTTTCTTTTCACTATACTTCTAAGTGGGTCAATGGATTTATGTGTTATGGGAACACCAAATAGGGTTCAATTGACCCAATCAAGCAACCCCTGGGAGGTTAAATGTAATGCCAAAGCTTTTTGATCGAATGGATTCCACATAGCATGCTGTGATATAGGATTGCCTAAACTGAGTTTTCATAAGATGTTTTCAGGCGAAGGAGCTAGAAAGAAACACCAGCTGAAAAGAAAAACAATTCAATTATAGAACTTATTTCCAAGATTTGATAGCACTGGATACAGCTTCCAACATAATTGGCGATAGTAGCTAAATCTCATTTTGTCCTGCTTGTCTGGAACAGGCAACTGATATCAAAAACTTTGTCAATATAGCTGCAGGAGCTCATGCCGTTTTAAGCATTTGGCAGAGAAAATGGGGAGGGGTGGGGGCTCAGTTTGTAGTGCCAAAATGGTGGGTTTTGACAATCAATATGATTACCTGGCATTAAAATCACAGATCATAGCAAAGTAGAATTGAGATGCTGCATTATTGGGTCACTAAGCCAAATTTCAAAACAGCCCCAACAATTAGTAGTTTGAGTTGTTCAGGGTTTAAGAAAAATAGACATTTGTCAAAAGAAATGTAAGTAAATTAATTAGTATAGAGACTGTTGTCCCTGGATGATCACATCTACAGATAGATACTACTTAAATGAGCTAGATAATAAGATATTAATACCCCCTAACGATTGGCTTCTCTTCAGACCTGAATGATATGAGAATAAATCTCTAAGTTGTAAAGGTTCAGTATCCCATGTCTGTTGTAGAAATATTGTTGAAATTTGATTTATAAATTCTTCAAAACCCAAGCTAGAGTACTTGACAGGCTATCTAGCAATGTTTCAGGAGATTATAGATGTGGGAAAGTTTGATGAAGTTGTTAGAAAATGGAAAGTCATTCTTTTATATCCAGTAAAGAGGCACTGGCTAGAGACTGGGCAAATGAACTACAATGGACCTGAAAATTCCAGTCGACCAAATAGTTCTGTGCAGCGTTGTGACCAGTAACCTGTACTGGATATGAATCATCTACCTGGGAGAGGGAGGTACAAGATTCCAGTGGGGTGTTGTTCCTGACTTGGCTCTGCATGACAATCTTCATTAAGGAGCTTAAAAGAGTATATCTGTCTTACATATTGGCAATCTGTCTTACATATTGGCAAAAAAAATCAGAAAATAAAATACAAGCTGAATAGTCAAGAACTTGTTGATGACCCAAGCTCTGTAAAGGACCTTGGAATACTCATCTCTAATGATCTAAGTGCTAGAGCCCACTGCAACTACATAGCCAAAAAGGCATTAAGAGTTGTTAACCTAATCCTACGTAGCTTTTTCTCTGGTAATATCACACTACTAACCAGAGCATACAAAACATTTGCTAGACCAATACTCGAATACAGTTCATCAGTCTGGAACCCTCATTACGTATCTGATATTAGCACAATTGAGAAAGTCCAGAAATATTTCACAAGGAGAGTTCTCCACTCTTCTACTCGTTGTAGAATACCTTATGCCACCAGACTTGAAATTCTAGAACTAGAAAACCTTGAATTACGCCGTCTTCGGTCTGACTTAAGCATGGTATATAAAATCATACATTGCAATGTCCTACCTGTCAATGAATACTTCAGCTTCAACCATAACAACACAAGAGCACACAATAGATACAAACTCAAAGTAAACCGCACCAAACTTGATTGCAGGAAATACGACTTCAGCAACAGAGTGGTCAACGTCTGGAATACTCTACCCGACTCTGTAGTCTCTTCCCCAAACCCCAAAAACTTTAACCTTAGACTGCCTACTATTGACCTCACCCCCTTCCTAAGAGGTCTGTAGGGGGCGTGCATAAGCGCACCAACGTGCCTACCGTCCCTGTCCTATTGTTTCTCTTATTCTTTTATTTTTCTTATATGTACCCATTTCATGTATTCACAACTATGTATACGCTTATACTCATTATCTTGTAAACAATTGGCAAATCAAATAAATAAATAAATAAATAAATACTATTCAATAGAGCGGAGAACCCCATTTCAGTGAGACATGCGGCACCGTTGCAGCAGCTTGACTGGTAATAGAATGAGATCGGTCAATATGAACTGGAATTCATATTACAGGTAATCCTTGATTTACAACAGTTCATTTAGTGACCGTTCAAAGTTACATCAGCACTGAAAAAAGCAGGGATGGGATTCAAATTTTTTAACAACCGGTTCTATGGGCGTGGCTTAGGTGGTGGGCGTGGCTTGGTGGTCATGTGACTGGGTGGACTTGGCTTGGTGGT